AAAGCATCTGCTGTAATTCTATAAGGTTAATTTGTAATACAGACTTCTACATAGTTTGGAGCACAAAATGAGAATGTACCTTGCTCACTTCAAGTATTTAGCTTGGTCTTCATTCTGGTGGCTCCACTGCATTCCTGCTGAAGGATCCTGAACATCCTTCAACTAAATTTTGCAATCTTTAATTGAGCAAAGTATTCAGAAAGCAATGTATTTTGATATCTCCTATTCTTGCCACTGAATTTGAAGGGCATTTGAATTTGATAGACAGAACCCTTCCTTAATGTTATTTCAACCTAGGGAATGTTGCAAATCTCTCACTGTGTGGCTGCATTTTCATTAATTTCCTTTCTAAATACCCAAAGCATGTATTCTTCCATGGGGCTGAGATGAGAGATCCTCTGTACACAAGGAAAGCTTTAAGATTTGGCTCGTTGATCCTATTATGGAACTCTATTTCAAAGAAGCACTTGTGGACAGCAACACATACTCATATATTTCTCCCACATGCCCACATCGACTTTGATAAATATCTAAATCTGTCACACACAGTAAGCTGTACTCCTCATCTGCCAGTGCTTGTGGTCAGCAAATTATGGATGGTCTTTACCAACCAGTAAACCAGTAGAGGCTAGGTTTTTTAGCTGGTGTAATGCTCTTCTAAGAAAATATGCAAAGAGACAAAAATATTCATTAAAACATCTGAATTAATCACTGTTACTAGTTCAGAAGAGAGCAGAGACTAAATGAGGTTAAAACTTCTCATAAGAAACATTTTATAAGTAAAAATAAGCAGAGAAAATATTAAGAAGACACTTCTTATAAGTTGCTGTTTTGAGAAGACAATTCCTGGGAATTTTCAATGGGACTTCAGTTGGTTGACAATTATTTTGGGAATATTTAAGTTCTCCCTACTCCTACTTCATTCAATATTTTTTTTCTCTTAGCAAGTTAAGCAGCAAGGTGACTATATTTTGCACTCATTTTTATAATTGGTGAAATAATAATAATATCTTCCTACATGACTCTATCTTGTCACTCACCACCAAGAATTTCAAAGCATTTTACAAACCATATTACATTTATAACAGTTATTTTGCATCTTACGGACAGATATCGATTTCTGAGGAAAATACAGTAGCATACAGTGTTGAATTATAGATATTTGTTCTGAGGTCCAAGGAGAGTTTCTCATTAACTTAAGGAGTCAGATCTTTTGTTAGAGAACTTCTTAAGCAACTGAATTGAGCATGAAGTCAAGCATAAACATAAAACAGGATTTCATATCCAGCCTCTTTCTGTCACATGCAATACAGAACCTCATCTGCACTGTGTCTTTTGAACTGTAGATGAAGTTAACTATACTAGTAATATGGAAGCTGCAAGGCATCAGGTGTTGTGCCTTTATTCATGTAACCTCTGTTAAGTACTCAAGCTCCTTCTATATTTTGGCTAAAGGTTTAGGGTTTAAAACGTGAATGAGTTGTTATGCACGTTAAGCACATCAAAGTGACAAGGAGTTAGGGTGATTTTTAGCATTCAGGTATGACATCATATGTCAACACAGCACTGTACTAGGCTCATGAGTCCACTTGAAAGGTTTGGATCTTATATCAGCTGATATGTGTATAATCTTTGCACAGTAGTTCAAGTGCGGATATGATATTATATGCTCACTTTCCACTATGGCAATGTGCACAAACAGTGGGGTTGACTGCTTCCTGCTGTTAGAACCTAGTTCTAGGAGGTTTTAACAACTGGAGGCAATTTTCATAGCAGACATTTTAGCAATGAATAAAATCTTACCTTGCTATTCTATCCATCAGTCTCTACAAGAATTTTGTCATTAATGGACTGGCATTTCACACTGTTATTCATGTTGGTGTTTCAGTGTATATTCTGGTCTCAGAAATCTTGAAAGCATTGGACTCTGTGGCATAATAATTTACAGAAAACTTGTATTCCTCTGTGCAGTGAAAGGAAGACTGTACTAGAATAGGCTCACTGTGGTAGAAAAGAAGGCTCTATCACTTCTTGCAAAGCATTAGATTCTGTGAATGGGAGGGCTGTGAGTTCCCAGAAAGCAATTTGTTTGTATTCAGAAAGAGTACACATACTAAGCATAGCGTCTGGTTCAATTTGTATTGATTATGTAATAGCAGGTTGTACCATCTGTTCAGCAGTGGTATATCATCCTGCTTTCTTCTATCACATCTTTCTCTTGCTGATCTTATGCTTGAGCTTCAGTTTAGATTTTCAGTGCTGCGTGTTGCAAAAGAAAAATGTGCCACAATCTTCTCTTGATCTTGCTTATATTTTCCTTAAGTGACTTCTTTCAATGTGATGGGTGGACAGCAGCCTTTTTAACAGATGTTTCTCACAGGGTATTGCATAATTATTTTTCAAGAGGCTTCTAAAAGCAGATGTTTCCACATCTTTGTTCTTTCCCCTCTTGACACTTCAACACAAACAGCAGATTCCACTGCTGCTGTCCTTCAGATCTAGTGAAAAAAACACCATAGCAATGATGTTGAATTTTTTCAGCTCATTTGGCAATAGTAAATATGTACTGGCACAATTCTTCTCCCTTTCCCCCTTGTCACTGGCCATGTTTGCACACAGTATCTCATGCTTTCTCTTTTGGAAACACTGTCTTTTTCTACAACCTTTGTATAGTTGATCTTTACTTTCTTCCAAAAAATTTTCACATTGAGAGCAAGAGTAAATCTTTGACTTCCTGCCATTTCAGTATATAGTTTTTGTTCTTATTCCAAGGTAGATGACAACTGTGCCCTGTGACACCTCCACCACTGTGAAGAAAGACTCTTTGGTATTACTTTGGATATTTTTGGGTGAAATAGCTCCGTTTTCTCTTTCTCTCTCACAAATAGAGATACAACAACTAGACTTTCCTATTGTTTACAGAAATAGCTTCGCTTTCTTGCAAACCATTTTGTAAGGGGACTTCCTAATTTGAGTATTTTTTCCTCAAAGACCAAGGGAATGCAACTAAGAATGAAGAAGAGGGCAGGCCCGGACAAGTTTCATCCAGCTATAATTTATCATTACAAAAGATGAATTTCAGCTGTTAGTCTAAAATGATGATAAATGCCTGGATGAAGAAAACAAAAACTTTCTAGTAAATCTACTCTGTATCTTTCTTTAAACGTCATGTTACTTCCTGTAGTAAAACATCATCTGATGCTATAGCACTTCGGATACATGACAAGTTTCATTCTTTCTGATTGATTCTGGGTTATTTACTAATTGGTTTGGGTCTAGTGACAAGGGTCTTGCTTTTCTGGATCCTGAGGGAAAGCACAGCATTTTTGAAATACATAGAATATTTTAAATTTCACAAGCTTTACCTGAAACACAGAATCACAGAATGGTTAAAGTTAAAAAGGGCCAGTGGAGGTCATGTACATCACAGTACAGATTCCTGCTCAAAGCAAACAATTAGAGTTGTGTCCAGTAGGGTTTTGAGTATCTCCGAAGTAGAGACTGGTAAGCTTCTCTAAACAACCTCTTCCAGTGTTTAGACACTATCACCTTAAAAAGGTTTGTTCTTATATTTATTTTTTATTTATATGTTTGGGTGTTTACAAGAACATTATGGAAGACAGTTTTGAAAGCTTTTCCAAAATCAAGATGAATTACATCCAATCACAGTGTTACAGTGTAGTTAAGGTTGAAAAAGGGATCTTTAGAGTTCGTTTGGCCCAATAGAGTTCATTTGGTCAAGCAGGGCCGCCTAGCTCAGGTTTCTATTGAATATTTCACAGGAGACCCCACAACATCTCTGAACAACTTCTTATATTGCTTAGTCACCTGCACAGCAAAGAAGTGTTTTCTCATGCTCAGAAGGAGTTTCTTGTGTTTCAGACTGTGTTCATTGCTTCTTGTCTTGTCCCTGAGTGCATTGAAAAGAGCCTGGAAGATGCTATTTGTCCAAATCCTTTCTTCTGCCCTTCTTGAAGATGTTACATTTGCTTTCTCCTTCTTAGGGAACTTCTCTGACTGCTATGACCTTTAAAAGGTAATTGAGAGTAGTCTCAGAGAGTCATTGGCCAGCTGTCATGGGTGCGTCCTATTTAGCCTTGTGTGCTTGTGGGTATCCAGTTAGTTTAAATGTTCCCTAACCTGATTCTCCTCTATTAAGGAAAGTCTTCTTTGTTCCAGACTTCTCCTCTGGTGTCTGGGGCTCCTGAAGACAAATAAATTGCTAGTAAAGACTGAGATGAAGAAGTCACTTAGGATTTTAGCCTTTTCTGTTTACTTTGTTAGCAGATTCCATGCCCCATTTGGCAGCTGTTCTACGTTTTCCCATGTCTTTCTTTTTCTGCTGATGTACTGGCAAAACTCAGTTTTTTTTGCACTTGACATCCCTTGTCAGATTCAGCTGCAGGTGGGATTTGGCTTTCCTAAACTCTTCTCAGACTGAGCTTATATTCTTCCTGGGTGCATCCATCCTTGCTTCTGGCTCTTGCATATTTGAGTTTTGTCGGAAGCACCTCGATCCATTCAGGACTCTTGCCAGCTTTCCTCAAATTCCTGCACATAAGCATGGACTGTACTGAAACACAAAGAAGGTGATATTTCAAAATATCTTCTTTTTGGAGGGCTATATCCGTTGGGATTCTTCCAAGAAGGTTCCTGAATAGGCCAAAGTCTTCTCAAAATGTAGTGTTATGATCCTTTTTACCTTGTTTTCTCCCCTCAAAATCCTGAACTCCACCATCTCATACTTAGTACATCAAGGCTTTCCCCATTTTTTCATGTCTCTGTCCAGTTCTTCCTTGCTTGCAAATGTGAGGTCTAGCCAAGTGCCTACCCCTTCTTGGCTCCTTGATCACTTCTCATTTCTATCCACAGATATTATGTTCCCAATGATGACTAAGGCCAAATTGTTTTAGGAAGACCTCATCTACTTCTTTCAGGTGATCGGTAGCAGTTACTGACATTGCCATGGTGATTGGTCCTTCTGTGTTATCTGTTCACAGGTAGCTAAATCATTTCCACATAGGAAATGATTTCCATACGTCACAGAAGAATCTTTGAAGGGAGACAGGGGAAAATTGATCCTTTGAGAAATATAAAAATATACTAAAAAAACTATAAGAAGATGTTCCACAAGAAAGAAGCATATTTTGGAAAGGTAAGGAACTGGGTGATACTCTTTTTTTTTTTTTCCCATCCACTTTCTTTTTTTCTGTTACAGCAGCAACGTTCATAATCATTACTGCTCCTGTTTGTTGCTCTAGATACCAGTATGACAACTTGAGTGAATGAGAGGACTTTGCTAATACAAATAATCTCTAAAACTTCTTTTTTTCTTCTTCTTCTTCTTTCCTGTGCTCTGACTTGGTGATTATCTTGGTGTTCTAATTTTCTGACAAGCTTAGCATTTATTTTTCCTCCAGTGAAAAATGAATTTCCATTTGACTTGTCATGTTGTTTTCCTTTTCCCTGAACACTCTCTCCCATATCAGATTCTTTTTCCTTCAACAATGATCACAAAAAGGTTGGATATGACAGAAACATGTAACAGATGAAGATAATGTTCACTTCAATTTTTTTTTGTTCTCCAGGTATCTGTTGAATTATCTAGTCATCTGTATACTTTTAGATATCTTATTTTAGATACCTTATTTTATCTCATCTTCCACATCTGTTTTTTGAGGCTTGAATTTTTTTTTTAAAGTGCTGCTTGGCATAATTGTGCCAAAAGAAAGAAAAAAACAAACAAACAAAGAGTGAAAATATAAATGCAATCTTGCAAAGAAAGCCCAATGGTCAGTCTCACATAAGCATGGGAAACCTTCTTGCAGATCGTAACAAATGAAAGTAGAAAGATTGCTAATTTTAGTATATTTGTTAGTTATATGTAATAGTCTTACAATAATCTCAACCTCCAAAAAATACAGAAAAAGAGAAGAGAAAAAGTAGAAAAAAACATGTCAATTGCTGCTGTACTGTAGTAGTTCTTTCTTTTCCAAAGTGTAATCCAACTTTTTTTTGAATTAATGTACACAAGTCACTTTAACTGCTGGCTGCAAAACTTTTGGCAGTTTGTTTGATATTCCAACCAATCTCTGTGTAAAGAACTGTCTGAATTGTTTATAGGCTTGTCCTTCTGCCCAGAGTTTAGTCCACAATCTCCTATTTTGAACACAATTGTACTTAGGAAGATGTTTGGGCCTTGCACTGAAAGGCTGTGGTTAGTGGGCTGAAGACTCATAGAATTTAGAATCATTAGACATGTTTTTATCAACAGTTAAAAAGAATAAAGCAAAGAAGTAATTCCACATAAATATTTCCATTCAGTATTCTTACTGTGCAGTGTGACTGTAATTTATATTTTCACAACAAAGTCTATTTTTGTTTCTTAAAATTCCTGGAAATGTAAAGCCACTAAGAAATAAAAAGTGACCTGGCAAATTATTGTCTTCACATTGAATATAGGATAAAAAAGGAACAACAGTAGAAGATGAAGATCAGGAAGATCACTACTATTTCTTCTGTTTTTTTTTCAAATTTAGATGTATGTGTTGTGTTAACAAGGTAGGTATTTTTTTGTCACAGTTGCACAGTTATGGAATTTAGTATTGATCTGGTGCCAAGATTCTGTAAAAGTATCTAAACAACATTCTCATGTCTTCAAGAATGTACATAGGTGAACCTGGGCTTTGCATTATCTTATCTTCGTGGTGAAGGGCAGTAGATGGAAGTTGCTATTTTTGAATCTGATCTAACTTTAGCTGAAATGAACAATGTAACACTTCATATTAAAAAACCCTGAGCTATCTCTGAAGAACCTTATTCCCCATTTGAAAGCAATGATGTGTATAACATTGCTTTATGCCTCGGAAAACTAGCTCTGCAAAACAATAGGTTTGATTAGTTTAGGTGCAATATTTTACTGATGCTACTAAAACTGGTACCAGAATTCTTCAGTTATGTCTTCGCAGTTCTGTTTGGAAAGGGATGATGTGAACTCATCCTTTTTGAGTCATCAGAGAATTGAAACAGGGCATTTATTTCCTTCAGACCTATGACCAACTCCTGTGTGAAGAGATTAAGGATCCTGACCTGTTTCTAGGTAAGACCTTTCAGCCTGGAGAAGAGGAGGCTCAGGGGAGACCTCGTTGCTCTCTGTAACTTCCTGAAGGGAGATTGTAGTGAGCTGGGGGTCCGCCTCTTCTCTCGTGTCATAATTAATAGGACCAGAGGGAATGGTTTCAAGCTACAGCAGGGGAGATTCAGGCTGGACATGAGGAAGTATTACTTTTCAGAAAGGGTGGTCAGGCACTGGAATGGACTGCCCAGGGAGGTGGTGGAGTCACCGACCCTGGGGGTGTTCAAGGAAAGGCTGGATGTTGTGTTGAGGGACATGGTTTAGTGGGAGCTATTGGGAATAGGTGAACGGTTGGACTGGATGATCTGTTAGGTCTTTTCCAACCTTGGTGATTCTATGATTCTATGATTCTATGATTCTAAGACACGTTATCATCAAAACCAAATGAACAGTACCCGCAATAATGTAAAAGACAGGAAGTTTTATTGAAGTTGTAATTAACACTGCAAAGTAAAACACTGTAAGAACATTTATTAAGCTACAGGTTTTGTCTGCTTGGTATTTCTTTCAGACTGCCTAGCATATTTAGATATATTTAAAAGACAAACAGTCTGAGAATGATCAGTAATTGAGAACACACTGAAGATAGATAGGGAAAGGGGAAAAGGTAGTGCTTACCATTAGAGATGAGGAAAAAGAGCAGATAGAAGAGACTGATTAATTTAAATACAACCACACACACCCCACAATCTCGTTTTGAACGCATAGAAGATGAAGAATTGGATAACACTCAACATATAAATGTCAGGAATATATTGTGCCAATTATCAGGTTTTGTCAAGCCAAACTACAGCAGAGCAACAGACCCTGCTTAGAAAAGAATAAGGGAGTCTATCTCAATTTTATTAAAACTTCATATATTAAAACTATAATATATCTATAATTATTCTACATTCCAACAGGAAATTGAGGCATATAATATTCTCAATGAATCTACCACAGAGTGGATACGAAAGGAGTTCACTAAGTATATCTAAAGAACTACTTTTTACTAGTTGTTTGATCTATTGAATAAGCATCTATTGTGCCTTTGGTGTTCAAGGGTTTTAGTAGTGTCCTTGATAGTGATATAGAAAAGCCTTATGAAATTTCAGTTGACGCTAACTCCATATACACTGAAAGAAATTGATAGATTCAGAAATTATATTTACATAAAATTACATAAAATATATTTACATAAAATTCAAGGCTTTTTGACAAACAAATGTAAGCTGTTGCATTTACACAGAATAATCAACAGTGTAAATTCAGGATGGAAAACCCAACACTGCAAAAAAAGTACTGGGGTTCATGAATCTCAAGATTAATGTTAGTTAACAAGGTGATTTAAAAGGAGAGTTTTGGATATATTGGAGCTGGTTAGTCTATAGATGGGAGGACAACTTGGGGGAATAAACAATAGTACAAGCTGTTGCAAGAAAGGTTCTGATTAGAAGTACAGAAAACAGTTCTAATAGCAAGGGGGATGAAGTGCTGGAAGAGATTGCCTAACAATAGCTTGGAGCATCCATCAACAGATTAGACAAACATCTGTTAGGAATGACATGGTTATAACCAAGCTTGCCATGGTGTGGGAGGAGTGGAAAGGGGTAACCTCTGGAATGATTCTGTGTTTCCGTTTATGATATTTTTTCCTGCAGAACTCTTATTAAAAACAAGAATTGCAAGAAAAGCACTAGTGATTCCTGCCTTCTGCACACAGTTTTACTGCAGTGCATGTCTTCCTCCACATGAGGTAGGACCAGCTTGGCAGTTATTGATTTTATTTATCAGGAAGGTTTTTTATTTCATTTGCTCTATTACTATTCACATAGTGCGGAGCAGCTTTGGCCCAAGTTCATTGTCAGATAGCATAGTTTAATAGGTAGGTCACTGTGTACACTCAGACAACTGAAGTGTTTCTTGCTTTACCACACTGATTATTTTTGTAACCCATCCTAAATCCCTTTGGCTCTGTTCGGATTCTTTCCTGCATTTTGTTCATGGTATCTATTTGCACTGCATGATTCAAGGTCCTGCTTCATGTGAGCTCTGGGAAGAAGGTATTACTACACTCTGGGTGTTATGGCACCTGGGGTTATGGAGCTTGAATTTAAATGAGTCTTCAGTGTGTTACTGTAACACGTGTAGCAAGCCACAACAACAGACACTGAAGACAGGAGTCTTTCTGTTGCCTGAAGTGGAAGTTGTTGCATAAGGATCTGAATGAAAAAAAAAAAGATCTTAAAGGGATATTCTTGGTTACTATTCTCTTCAGTTATCTTTGCATCTTTGTACCACTGTATTCTGCCATTCTTATTTGCATGTTCAAACTGTCAACTTACTCTGATTTGATGTGTCCCTGCTGCAGCATTCTGATACGTGGAATGCATGAAATACGCCTTTCATATGAGCAAGAATTCTGATCTTGCTCAGACATCTCTGTGGCCAAAATCTGATATTTTCTGTCTAGTCATAGAGTTCAGAGGTCATGCTTGTAACTTATCTAGTAAAGTATAGTAAAGAATTGGCTGGTAGAGGAAGTATATAGAGAACGGAACATTTTTAAAATTATGTGTAATTCATATACAAGTATTGAGCTTGGAACAAAAATCATAGCATGTGACGTGAGAAATACTTATTTAGTTTTACTGTCATTTTATAGCAGTATTTCTTTAAGTTTTACATAATATATCTTTTTTCATTGGGGAAAAAATCAGACTCTAGCAAATGGTGAGACAGCTTAAAAATAATTGTAACTAGGAACTGGGCCATGATTAAAATTGTTCAGCTGTTTGTTTTATTGTTTGTTCCCAAAACCTTAAATGCACTCTATGAGAACAATAACAACAGTTAGCATGTAACTCCATATGGGCCAATTCTTGCAGTCCTCACTCAGTCCTTTCTTACTCAGAAAAACTTTTTAGAGTGCTTTGCAAAGAGTCAGGGTTGGAACTGTGTGTTCTAATTGTTTTGTAATATTAACATGGTAGCTACCATGGAATAAGAAAAAAAAACAAAAGACCAAAAAAACCAGAAAGAGAGATAGATTGAAGACTGTCTGGCTACTAGCACATTTGGATTCAGGAAGAGTTTAGAAGAATGTAGACAGTGATGTCTCCTCTGACAATGTCCGTATCTCAACTTCATGATGAGGATGATAATGATAAAAACTAGAAAGAAAAACAAAATGTAAAGTAAACAATGATGGCTATTTGCTACATAAGCTATAAACATAAGCAAGTTTGTAAGTAAGAAATTTACTGTGGATGACCTTAGCTGGCACACAGAATCACAGAATTGCTCAGGTTGGAAAAGACCTACAGGATCATGAAGTCCAACCTCAAACTAACTATACTACCCTAATTCTAACAACCCACCACTGAATCGTGTCTCAGAGCACCGCATCCAGATGATCTTTAAACACATTCAGGGGTGGCGACTCAACCACCTGCCTGGGGAGCTTGTTCCAGTGCTTAACAACCCTTTCTTGATATCCAACCTAAACCTCTTCTGGTGCAACTTGAGGCCATGTCACCTGTCATCTGTGTGAAGAGACCAAACATGGAAAGTGTTAATTTTTTGAGACATTTGCTGGATTTCTTGGTTGTATTGATCTCCAGATTGGTTTGATCTCCTTGGAAATACAAGTGCTTGCACTTCTATTATTAAGAATGAACTTTCTTTGTATACATTTTCCTAAATGTTCATCTGTGTTTCCACTTTCAGGACAATCTTCTAAGAATGGTGGTGAAACATAAAGAATTGTAACCTGTTTCAGAGGTAAGGAGCTGCATTTGGTGTGGGATTTTCAAAACTCTGTAACATATATACAGCTGCTAGAAGATGAAGTATTACATAAAAGTGTGAAATTTGCTCCCAGAGAGTTTACTTACAGTTAACTACAGTGCATACTGACAGTAGACTACATAATTCACAATACCTTTTAACTATAAAACGTCGTAATATTTTGATTTTACTGAGCTTTAGTTGGGTTACCAAGTGTGCATGGAAGACTTAATTTAGGAAAGGCTACTGTAAGCACAGTTTGAACCTTTTCTCTTGGGAGAGGTATTGAAACCTCATACATATTTTAGGATGGTAAGAATCTGGTGATACTGTAGGAGCCTCATTTAAAGCCCTTTAAATGTCAACATTAAAAATTCCTTTGCCTCAGTGGATTCTGGACCAAGCAGCACGCAAGAGTAACTGAACTAAGGATTTTGCTGACTGTAACATATAGTATATGCAGTACAGTTTTATAAAAAAAGCAAACACATTTGCTAAGAATTATTTTTGCTTTACGGATGTTTTAAGAAGTAATTTGACGTAGTATAGTGAAAAGGACATAAAATATTCTAGGTTTGAGTCATTAGAACCAGATGGTCTTTAAAGGCTTTTGTCTAAACTAGAATTGGGAAAGTTTGTAAACTCTGGATAGTCTGAAAATATGCTCAAGCTTGATATATCAGATATGCCCAGTTTTATAATGTGAAATTCTTTGGCTGTTTTCCTGACACCCTAGTAAGGTGTTATACAATTTAGGCAATTACAATAAAATTTTGGATGCTACTGTTATTATTGTTCTGCTTTGGAACTGGAAAAACAACAAAATTGCCCTAATGCAGTGTAGTGGAGAATATCACAGGGAAGAATTAATAGGGAAAATAATTTTTATTACTTAATATTAATTTGTTGTGTTTACATCATGGGTCATATTTGTTTTGTGGAAAAGGTCAGAAAACAGCAACAAGAAAACCCAAATCTCTCATTCTGGAAGGATGACAAATGTTTTCTCTTCAAAATAAGAGCAGTATTGTTAGTGGAACAACACTATTTGACAGTGACCAGTCAGAACTGCAGAATGCAATACTGAAATAATATTGATCATCACAGAGTAATACGACAGCTGTTGAAATTAAATATGTCACTACAGTCGTGTGGCAATCCTTCTGCATCCTGGACGATATACGGCCTTTAGGCAGCTACTAATCCTACTTACTTGAGTAGTCTGAAAGGTGGAGGGAGGAGGCAGTATCTGTGATGGTAGGAACTCACACAAATTGTTGAGGGGATATAGAGGCAACCTGAAGTTTATTTCACATTGCTAATATAGATTGTGTGAAGGATGACTGTCTACACAGAAGTTACCTATATTTAAGATCAGAGATAACTTTTATTTTCTTCTTTTCTGACTTGTAAAAATGACAACAAAATCTGGTAATCTGAAATTGAATTAGAATGTGTCAGGAGTCTTTGGATGCTAATCTAAAAGGTCTTGATGACATTTTCATACAATATCTTGGGCATTAGGAGTGGATTTTGTAAACTTTTTTTTCTCTGTGATTCCTACTAATCCCTCTCACGTGAAAACTTCTTTTTCTGATGTATTAGTAGTTTCACTGTCCCCAAGTGTAAAGGAAATGTGTCTGCATACAGCAAGCAGTCAAGCAGGATCAGATTTTCTCTGCAGGAACTTGTTGATTTCAATACAGAAAGATGAACTTGCAAGTATACATCATGCAGATTTCAGTGTGGCTTCTCTCTGAATATGGGCTGGAATGAAATGTAAAGTCCTTTCAGAATGTTAAACTACCTTTTAGAGAAACCAACATTTAAAAACATAGTAATAAGTGAGCTACAGAAGGCAGCACAAGTGCTCAATTCAGCAGCATTGTGCCTTTGAAGATGCCAAGGTTCAGTTATAAATCGTATATGCCAATTTTTTTTTTTCTTTTTTTCTGTCAAGATGCATAAGCAAACACCTGGTAGATATACTAGACTGATTTTCTTTGTGTAGGTGTGTATATAGGTACACATGCGAACACTTCTTATCATGCAGTTGTCTGCTAGTGGTTGTGAATTTGTATCTTTGATTTGCACAACTAAGTCAGGTGGGCATACATGTGGCCCTGCAAATATTGACAAGATAATATGTCCTTTTGTCCCCTGCAGTTTCACAGGATGATAGATTAGGATTTTTTTAATGTTTCTTGGTTCAGAACCCTTCCTTTGAATCTTAAAGTCAAGTGAAACATGCTCCAAAGACTTTGTCCATAACAATTGGCAATTTTCCTATGTTAAGGAGTTGAAGTGAAAGCTTTTATTATGTCAACCTGCTCAACTAGGTTCTTCCAAGTTTAAATATAAAATAAAAAATGAAATGATTGGTGTAAAGTCATGACATACACAGTTTTCTGTGCAAAATCATGTATTTCTTTTGTTTGCTTTACTATTTATTAATTTGTTTTGGAGATGCTTACATCTTAATGAGGCTTTTGAAAAACTTAGTCTGTGTTTAAAGTTTCTAAGAGAATTTGAAGCAAGACAAACAATGTGGTTTTGGGTTTTGTTGTTAACATTTCTCAACTCTGTCCATGTCATAAAAAACAACATATTCATTTGTATGATTTGGCCTTAGGGCACAGGAAGAGGTGTGGAATGAACAGTGGAGAATGCACTGGATGTGTAGTAGAGCTTTGGATCAGAGAGACTGTCTCAGAAGCTTGTGAATTTGGAAAAAGCCATGTGTCCATTAAAAAATATATATATATATCTTGACTTGGATGGTTATAAGCCATTTTCCTAAACTGTGAGCTACAACTCCCTGAGGAGGGGAAGCCTAAAGGGAGGTGCTGGTTCTTCTCCCTGGTAGCCAGTGATAGGATATGTGAGAACAGCACAAGGTTGCACAGTGAAGGTTTGGACTGGATAATATGAACAATTTCTTTAATAAGACAGTGGTCAGAAGCTATCACAGGCTTCGTAGGGAGGCTGATGATGCCCTATGCCTGTCAGTGTCCAAGAGACATTTGATCTCTTTTCTCCTGTCCTCTCCTCTCTAAAAAACCCCAACTCTTTGGGTCTCAAATAGTAAAATTACTCTAAAAAACAGATCTCAGAAAAAATAGTTAAACTTGTAACTGGCAATCAGTATTAATTTATATTAAAACATACTTCAGTTTTGGCCCACCAAATTAATGAAGTGTACAGAGAAGTCTTTGCAGAAAAATAATTGAAATTTTTTTCTTTAGAGCTAATTTGTTGCTTTGCCTTTTGCTCCAAGTACTCGCTGCCATTGATGCCAGAAGTAGGGATTGAGTTGTGATCCCGAGACAACTTTAGAACCAAAAGATGAGTGCATTTTATTGGAAAATTAAAATCCAGCTTGTCCACACTTGCCAGGAATTGGTTGGATAATTTGGAGCAGAAATTCATTCTCTACTTTGCATTGGGTGACAAGGTGGAAGCATACTGTCGTTCTCAGTAAGAGAATACTCTGAGTGCTAACTCAGGCATTGACTCTCCGCCTTGGAAGAAAAGCACAACAGGAGTCTTCACGGTAGGGCATTGAGAGGCTCATTTCACATATTCAAGCTTCTAACGGCAGAAGGGACCACAGTGAGTGCTGTCTGTCTTTGGCATAGCACAGAATTTTGAAGAGTCATTACTGCTCCCCACATCTGTTATATTATTCTATAATAGCTCCTATTCCAATGCATATCCACAAACAGGATGGTTTTAACATGCATCAAGTCAGCCAGCCAGACAGATGTTTTGAGGCACATAATATAATTATTGATATGAAAATCAAAACAAGGTATCTTATAAAAGCAGCCACTGTCGGATAGTTATGGATTAGATCATCAGTCTTGTTGCTTTAACAAACCCCGTATTCATTATCGTAGCTAAGGGCACTTTTTTCTTTGCCAGAATTGGCTGTCCTCTTAATGAATATTGCAAATCGTAACCCAAATTATATGCCTTAAACTGTCTTCATTTTTTATTTGCAATGCTGTTCAGGAGCTTGATTTGTGTTATTGCAAAGCATTTCACTGATGGAAGAAAGGGAGACTGACATGCAATGAATGGGCTGCAGAATTCTGTGTGGACAAGCAGTAACTCAACCTTCTGGTACAGAGTCATCTCCATCTTGTGTTTGGACTTCACTGTGAACTCTGTCTCCTCTGAGCTCCCTCACAGGAATTATAGTGCTGACTTTGACTCTGTTTTGATGAAGACTCAAAGTTTTACACCAAGCAGATTTAAGACTGACTGCTAGCGCTGTATCTCAGCTCTACTAATGTCAAAAATAGAAAGCTTGGGGGAAAGAAATGAAAACATATTGAATTTTTGCTCCTGAGTGGACTAGAAATTTGAATTTTTTTTCCTTTTATTTCCCATTCCACCTCTAGATAATCGTAGAATCATAGAATGCTTTAGGTTGGAGGGGACCTTTAAGATCATTTGGTTCCAAACCTTCTGTTATAGGCAGGGATACCTTCCTCTAGACTAGGTTACACAAAGTCCTATCCAGCCTGGCTTTGAATGTTTCTAAGGAGGGGGCATTTACAAAGATGCTGGGCAACCTGTTCCAGTGTCTTACCACCCTCACAGCAAAAAGTTTCTTCCTAATATCTAGTCTAAATCTACCCTCTTTCAGTATAAAGCCATTTCTCCTCATCCTATCTGCCCTCCTCTACTACCTGCCCTTATAAACAGTCCCTCCCCAACTTTCCTGTTGGCCCTCTTCAGGTACTGGTAGGCCACTATTAGGTCTCACTGGAGCCTTCTCTTCTCCAGGCTGAAGAGCCCTAGCTCTGTCAGCTTCTCCACATCGTAATAGACATAAAAGACATAATAATGTCTTTTCTCTTTTGAAAGACTGTGGACTAACTTTGGGTTAAAAAACATTAGAAGAAAAAGAAAAATCATAATAAAATCATAAAAAGAAATCTGTTAAAAGATACTGAGAAAGAATGTTTTACTTTATTCAATTGAAG